CAATCATTTAAAGAGGGCTCGAAACAGAACATTCTAAACTACGCAGACCAAGTCGAAGAGGAGAAAGAGGAGAAAGAGAACGTGACGAACTTAACAGGTTGTCAGCTACTTGATGTACCATTGCATAGTTTTCCACGTCAACTTCTGATTTGACGATTGGGCGACGCGAAATAAAGAGTCAAGATTAGTCATGAACTCACCCACGTGATCTATGTGCCCAAGGCTACTGAGCTATGACTAAATAGGTGAAGTAACAAAACAAAACATTTAGTGGGAAAAGTGTGGAAATGTATCACTAAATGCTCAATTTGTAATTCTTAATTCGCACATGCTGGCCAGTTTATTCGTATGAAGATGCGTGATGAAGCGACCTGTGCAGGACCATCTCCGAACAAAACGAGGATCAGCTTTAGCCTCATCCACTGTCGGCCGAGACGCAGTCTTCGAGACAGCTTCTCTCGGATCTGATGAGACTATGCCACTTGGTCCAACTCGCCAAAGTTGCCCGTCGTCGCGACAACTGCAAGCCAGCATTAAGACATCTTTACAGACAATGCATGCGTCAACAATGACTACATTCACGCAGCTACAACCCAGCTTAGAGGTAGTCTTCGTGCCCTCTATCGTAGTAACCATGATGCTGACTTGGTACACGTCCAGACACGATGCGATGCCGGTGATAAGGGTAAATTTGCCTGAAGAGGGACACACGTGCAAGAAACTGGAACAAACAAAAGTGCAGAAGTCATGATTGGTGTGTAGATGGGTCTGACTTGTCTCAAGGCCTCCTCATTGCATCCTCTAGCCTCCTTTCAGGACATACCATGCGGCCCAAAAAATGTTCATTTATCGCCATGGCGACCACCTCTATCATGACCCACATTCCCTACGACTTGAAACCACTACTTTTCCCATTGGACCTATCAAAATGATCAAGTCAAGTTTAACTTTCATCTCAGACTCAACCACACACACACGGACACACACACAAAGACATATATATATATGTATAGATACATCTCGGCGTAGCTGTCTATACGAATTTTTTTCCTATGATCCCACTCGATTTTTCAGTGCACACGAAAATGTGTTTGGAGCGAATTCGCAAATTGGTCGCACCAGCAACCAAGGCAGTACCGACTGACGTGGAGTAAAGACCATCTTCACTCCACTCCACTGCCTTGGCTGCCAGGACGACCATTACACAAGTCACCTCCAACTCACATTTCCTGCGAAATTTTCCGGTAGGCGAGCGAATCCATTTAGGGTCAGAAGCCAACAGGTGGACAGGATATAACACCTTGATGAGGCAATGTACTGGAAGCTAGGGCCAAGCGACGGAAAATCTTTATTGGAAGATTCATGCTGACGCTGTTTCCGAGGTGATCTTCTTCTATTCCGATAAAAAGGTGCTAAGCTTTCGTCCGTCACATGACAAACATCATCAGAGCAAGGTATCATCGTAAAAATCAAATTCAAGTTGAATCAAGAAAACTTGGTTGCATTTGGCTGTGACGATGATGTTCGTCATATGACGGACGAAAGCTTAGCACCTTTTCACCGGAATCGAAGTAGGTTACTTTGGAAACAGCGTCAGCATAAATGTTCGAGTAAGGCCAATCGACAGCTAGTCAAGATGAATCCGCCGTCGTCTTCTGGTGGAACCGAGCT